ATTCCCAGACACTGATAGCTGTAAAAATAGTAAGAGGATTAATGTCTGGCATTAAAAATGCTTCTGCTTAGTCACATCTTGTAATTACACGATTTTTCATTTGTAATTTCAGGACACTTACAGTGGATTAATAGGCACACTTGTTGTGTGTCATAGACATTATTTGCCATCATTTCATACTAAAAAGAAAGTTCAATTTGCTCTTCTTTTTATGGTTTTTGATGAAAATGAGTCATGGTACTTGGATGAAAACATTAAAACCTATTCTACCAACCCGCACCTTGTTGACAAAGAGGATGAGGAATTCCTTGAAAGTAATAAAATGCATGGTATGTTTCCCAATTTTGTTAATGTAACTCTGGAAACTCTATAAAATTATGTATTTGAAAGTACTGCATATAAATTTGACTTTCTCATCCCCTCTGAATTTCCAGTTTCAGGGCAGAAGGCCTCAAAAATTTCACTCAAACTGTTTGAAAACACTGTTAATGTTTTGTTTTGGTTTTTTTTAAACTATGAAAAAATGGTCCCATGTTGAAATTTCGAGGAGAGAAAGAGTAAAAATGAAATTTGAAATTTTGATTTGATGTCAGCAAACAACTGTTCTGGATAAGTTGGAAAGTCAATGTGCATCCTGAAAGCAAGTCCTGGTAAAGCTTACCCTTTACAAAGAGCTGCAGGAAACGCAGATCTTTAAGAACTGCAATATTAGCAACGGTGTACAATAAAGAACTTTTAACTACATCTTACTTTCTAGTTAAATACGGAATATAATCAGACCCATTCATAATATGCTGTCCCATTGTTTTGGTTTTATATACCATCCAAAGCTGTTACTTTTGCCTGGCATTGGCTTTCAAATCTTGTATTCTGTCGAAGTTTAGAGAATAACAATGAATAAAATCTTACTTGTTTTCTCTGTCTTGCTCTTTCCAGGAAAGGTGTTTGGAAATCTGCATGGTCTGACTATGCATGTTGGAGACAAAGTAAGCTGGTATTTGATGGGAATGGGCAATGAAATAGACATTCACACAGCACACTTCCACGGCCACAGCTTTGAGTATAAGGTAAGAGGTCCTTTCCACTCATTTCTTGCTGTGTTAAGAATGAGAGGTAGATCAAATACCAAGGACCATCATCTCTGGTGAAAAGTCAGTTGTTACAGTATTAAGCAGGACTTGTAATTTGACCGTAAAGTTTTTATGCCCCAAATCTGTATTTGATCAACATGCAAGAGACAGAGAATATCTGCCAGTAGCATTTGCTGACTGGTAACCTCACAAGTTGCTTTGACAAAGTAGCTGTGAATTTTCATGGCTGTGGTGAGACAACAGCTGGAGTTTTCCTTCATTTCCACTTAGTTGCTAGTTTATTAATCTTTTAAGCATGAAGTGAATGTATAGTGATGCTTCTGTAGAAATGACATACAGTAGATGTCCTTTCACTCAACTGTGATTAAAAAGTTTGGTGGGAATATGCATAAAAGGTAGCTTAAATGGGTGCCATCTGGTAATGCCACACTGTTTAACCATTGTTTCTTTTTGTCCTGAAGCAAACAGGGGTTTACCGGGCAGATGTCTTTGATCTGTTCCCTGGGACATTTCAAACTGTGGAAATGACCCCGCAGAACCCTGGAACCTGGCTACTACACTGTCACGTTACTGACCACATCCACGCGGGCATGGAAGCAACTTACACAGTGCTCCCAAAGGAAGGTAGGAGCTTATCTATCTCAGTAATGTTCATTATGTTTAAAGACGCAGAATGGGGCTCACAGACAGGCCAGCGAACTCGGGACGAGTTCAGGCACCCAGCAGTATTTCATGGTTTAATGTCTGGAGGCCGGCATGTTGCAAGCCACCCGATCATACTTGCCTCAGCACTGCTGCTCAGAAAACAGAAGTACCTAAAGGACTGGATGGTAACTGACTATTGCTTCAGCTTCCCATCAATGAAATTAAAATAACATATTTTTATTTAGAAAGAATTCTTCATGAGACAGAGTATTTCTGAACCGAAGAAGTACCAGTAGTGTCAGCCTCCCTCTCAATCTTCATTTAAAACAAAAAGAACAGTTGGTAAATAAAGCTGAAGTCACCATCCCTAACAGTTAGCATACTGAAAAACTAAAATAGTGTTTTCTTTCTAAAGGACACGTTTTAGCTTTACAGAGAGCTTTATCTTGCTTTAGCAGTATTACCTGTGAAAAAACTTGGAATCTTGGATTTTGAAAGTTCTTGTTTCTACAAAATTAATACAATTTTAAAAGTAACACTTTCCCGTACTCAAAAGACAGAGCTTAATAGGTATGCATTATAGTTAATTGACAGAAAGAGAACAGTAGGAACATTTCAAAATGTGTGTATGTATGTATATATATAGATATACACCTATATAATGTACATATGTATCTATACTAAACACACAGACTGGAATGTTAAACACAATCTAGTTCTAGTTTATAAAACATTCTGATTTACAGAATACATTGTGCCAAACTGGCACAGATAATAAAATGCTGACTTAAGAGTACACAGAAAAGAGACACAGAAACAAACTTTAACTTGTAGAAGCAGTATGTTGGATTTTTCGTAATCAGCCATCTAAATGTACCCTTCAGCGCATTTTAAAGTTGTTTTTAAATCTAGCTCACAATGTCTAGAAGGTACTGGGATCCATTGCTCTCATTTTGGACTCTGTTGTCCATATGCATAGACTAGTCTTTTGATGAAATGCGTGTAACAAAAGCTATTTTCCCCCTTACAGACAAATAGTCTTTGTTCCCAAGATTATTGAATCAGTTCAAGTGTAAAGGTACGGCAGGCACGCTAGAATGATGAAAACATTTTACCACAGCGATTCTCCAAGGTCTACCTTCAGTGAAGCCTTTCTTGAGAAATACTATCTCCTGGACAATTCATCTCCACGTGTTTTGGAAGATTTCATTTGGTGGCCCACAGCTAACAAAAGGGCCATAGATTAAGACAGCTGAATGGATATAATAGCTTATAAATCTCTTTTTCTCCAAATATAAATAGTATCTTGCAAGCTAAACATATTCTAGGTGATGCCAAATGCATGTTATTTAACTGCTGAGGAACATGGAAGAGTCCAATGAAATGCACTTTCTTTTTTTAAGTTTGTAAATAACCCTGTATAACAGCAAAATTTGTTTTAGGTATCTGCTGTCACATTTTACTAGTCAGATATGTTAGTAGTTATTGCTTGGAAAATAGGAATTTGGTTATCACTTTATCCATCGTATAATTGAACAGCTAACAAAATAGCTCTATTATTTCTGTTGAATTATTTTATAATTTTATCCAGTAACATCTTTCAAGATAGTGAATTTAAAAGATGCAATGGCTGAGGGATCATGGTTGCACACAATGTTTTTGTTTTTCTGTTATGAAAATAATTACAAGGCAGACAAAGTTATGCTGAAATAAGCCTGATGAAATTCAGACAATGAAGGGCAAAATTCGGTGACTACTATGCCCGAGAGCTTTGCTCTGATGGATCCTAAACAACTCCTGCAGTGGAATCATTTTGCTGTTAATTATGTAGTACAGACCTACGCAAATTAAGCATTTCTTGACAGACGGAACCAGCAGTATTAGTGCTTGACTGATGCTGGTCAAAAATGAAAGCAATAAAAGCAGGTATCATCGTGCCATCCAGTTGGTGTTTTAATAGCCCAACTCCACATATGTTAGACCTGTGTCAAAGAAGAGGGAAGGATGTATGGGACAGGCAGGCAACGCAAAATATTTGGGCTTTACAGCTACCGGAACAAAGGAAGTTGCTTCTCTGTAACAAGTCTAAATTGCTTTGGCTTTTTTTAAGGTAGATTCTACTGAAACCAGCGTAATCCCTACTAGTAAATTAGATCATTGATTTTGGCTGTGGTAAGAATGCTACATAGCTAAGTTAAACTATTTTTTTCTTTCTCTCTCTTTTTTTTTAAATATATTTTATTTGCAATGTAGATGATCTCTTCTGACTGACTTCCACAGGTTTAAGTAACATTACAGCTTCAGTGAAAATGGATTTGATAGAGTCAAGGTCAGCTAATTAGGCCTTTAGATGGTCAGGGGATCACGGAATCATTGTTTTATTTGTGGTAGATTCTCAAAAAACCAAATGCATTCATAAGAAGGTCATAAACATTGTGACATTTTATTATGACTGAATTCCAGTTGAAGGAACAGAAGGATGTTTTCTGCCCAAAAGAAAGACAAACGTCAGTACCTGAGACAATTACCAAAAAACCTAGATGAAGTAAGAGTTTTCAGTGGGATTTGTGACCTATACTTGTTTACTGACTGAGTACAACAGGAGAAGAAAGAAAACAAAAAACAGCAAGGAAGCGGTAGTCCGTATCTTCCACTCCCTTGGGAACACTTCCGTTTCTCTTTGATTTATGGCCTTTTTTTGTGAATTGCTAAATGAAAACATTTTCAGTTTCACACTTGCATGGGTATGTAATTAAGATGACAGAGCAGCTGACTGGTTTTGCCAGCTGGAATTCAAGGGAATGTCTGTGTTGCAAAATGAACTGAGTAGGGCCCAATTCCACCTGGAAGAGTAGGCACTTACTTTTACTCATACAATTAGACACATGCCTGAGCTTAAACTCCTCCCTAGGTCAGTGATCCAACTAACTTAGAATTAAGACTGACTCCCTGTTTTACTTTTAGTGAACATTGTATGTCTAATTGTACTGTACAGTCTGTATTTTCTAGCTGCTTTGGCTATAAGTTCACCCTCATTGAGAAGATGAGTGATCCTGCCTAACAGCTGAATAGCTATGTTTTTACCAGTCCAACCACCATTCAGTTCTACCTGGCAGGAATTCTGGTTTGCTGACCTTTGTCAGAGTGTAATAGTAGCTTCAAAACAGATGCTTCGCCTCAGACAACAGCTGTCATTCAATAGTTGTCATAAGGTTTCAACTGAGAAATAAGGTGATTTATGTGAGGTGAGTCCCACGGTACCTTATATGTAGTTCTATGTTTGTTTCATTTACTTTTTTTATTCCAGCACATTCTTTGTATTTGAGTGCATAGTAGACTTTCATTGCTTTAGATCAGCAGCTTCCTCTGGCTGCAGTGAAGAAGATGTGGCAGGAAAAATGCTGCAGTTCCATCCTCTGGTAGAAGACTGAGGAAATCCTTTAGTTCCAGTTCCATTGCAACAACTGATAAAGTTTCTGCTCAGAGCAGGGGAGAAAATCTTGTTTAGGTATTTTGGGTTTAGAACAAAGAAACAAAAAAACACTAACAATGTAATTACTAATTGAAGTCATCAAATTATCTAAATATTGCAACTGGAATGAAATTTGAGACACACCCATTTGGGAGCAAATACAAGTATAGGAAATCTCAAAAGTAAACTGAAATTATGTCTTAGATTAAAACCATACCTCTATCTTGACTCATCAGGTCTACATGTGGCACTAATGCTTATGGAAGTCTGATTTCGTACTTCACATGTTTTGTATCAAATGTAAAGGAAGCCCTAGAAATCTATACTAGTACCCTAACTCAGCACTATCTGTAAAATGGGATGTTCTGGAAGCAGCTTCTCAGACCAAGCCATTTAACATTATGTTCTTTTTCAAAAGAGCACTAGAAACTAGAAATTTATGATAAAGGATGGCAACCCATGCTGCACAATGCCACTCCATGATGCTGTTTTTCTGCCCTCAGGCATTACACTGGCATTTTTTTTTAAAAAATATGTGCTTTATTCAATCTTCTTATTCTGTGTAAACAAATACACTGGCCACTCAGGTATACACAATATTATTGACTTCCTACAAATATGTAACAATAGGACTACATCAACTACCAGGGTTGGTTTCTCCACTTCTAGTAGTAACACATTGTGGTTTTTTCAGTCTGACCTAATCGTCAATACACACTTAAACACCCACTGGGTTATCAACAGTAGCCTGTTAGCTGCCATTGCTTAGAACCATATCGTCACTTAGCCTAGGAAAAAAACCAATTACTATCTATTAGTTTTATTTAGTAATTTTTTTTAATGGTGTCTATTCTTGACCTATATAGAAACAATGATTCCCAAAATTTAACTGTTTTCAATACAAAATGAATGCCATTATTTTTATATGTTGCAGAATCCTGTGCTAATGATTAGAAAGCCTGCTGAGCTGTATTAGCTTTAACCATACAAAAAGGTCCCCTTTTCTTCCAAAGTATCACATCAGTAGCCCTTACCCTGAACAGTATTTAGAATGTCAGATGACGTACAAAGGCTTCTGGAGTTGAGTTGCAATCAATTGACTTACCTTTCAGTGATGAAATAAGAACAGGGCAATCATTTCCAGTGAGTCTGGTTCTCTTGCAAAGTTCAGGAAGCAGCTTGTTCCACCACACAGCCTAATCCACAAAAAAAAAACCACAGCAAAGTGTAATTAACAAGGACTGCAATTAAGAGTATGAAAGACCTGCTAAAAATACACTGAACTAAGCTCGAATGTGTACAAATACAGGTAGGATACGATGAAATCAATAATTAACTTATACAATGCTTTGAAATGCAGTGGTTTTTTGCACATCATGTATTTTCAATTTTCAGTGCAATCTTTTCAGACTCGAAAATGTTTACACAGTGCCCCCTAGTGCCTCTATAAATAAAAGTTTGTAAGAGAAAAATGTCACATAATTAGCAAGAACTGATGCAGTCAGAAAATTAAGGGTTTTCCCTCTAAGCAGCACAATGCAAAGTGGTGAATAGCATTACTGTAAGAACACTGCTCTGTCTCCTGACCTAATCTACTTCCAACAGCTGTAGTAGTGGATTATGTTTTGTGTATAATTTTGGTGGTAAGAATGGACAGGGGGAAGGGATTTCTTTCCTTCTTTTTTAAACGTGGCAACACTTTTCTTCCACCTGTGTTCAGATTCAGTACTGCAACCTCATATTCCACTCTATAACTAATGTGGAAACAATCAAAGAAACTATTTTCAGATCTGAATAAAAAGCACAAATCTGGGTTTGAACAGAGTTCTAGTACATTAATGTGGTAGAGGATCACCTCTGCTGACTCTGGCCAGCAAAACTGTGTACAATTAATTGAGTAGCTGTGATGGGCAATGCAAGTAAACTCCTGTACTCCTGGAACAAAATCAGTTCCAAAATTAAAACTGTATAGAGGCCTAAGGGGAAAATGGGACAAAGAACAATCTTTGCATTAGTGCACCAGTACCATTCTGATGTTATAAGGTCAGAAGATGTCACTGGAACACAGGAAGAACATATTTAAGTGTGATTTTATTTAAAGGACCATGATCTCTTACCAGTTAGCTTATCCCTAAAATTTCACATTATACAACACCGTCAAACAATTTAGAACACTGATCAGTGAGAAACTAGCTAGTTTTTCATTTATAGTGGAAAAAGAACATATTACTCTCCCTTCTCTGAGGCACTCTGCCATCTGAAAAGACTATGCTTTAAATTTACTAGAATGAATGCAAGGAGTCACAGAAGAAACTGGGGAAAAAAAAATATTCCATTAAAATTAGTGGTGACTGAGTTACGGAATTTAAATGGCAAGCAAAAGGTTCAAAGCAAGCTAAGCAATTTACTTTGTCTGAAAGCTGGGCTATTTGATCCATGCAGAGTCCATCTGTACACAAAAGCATTTTAGTTAGAAAAAAAAAGCAAAACAAAAAATATTGAACAACTTTAATGAAGGTAGCTCACCCGATTGTCATCTTTCAGCTCGTGCTGAGCGTATAATACAGCTGCATCAGGACACCTTTTGAGAAGCTGGTCAATGGCTTCCTCATACTTGCCTAGACGGGTATTGCAGAGAACATGGATGGTGAGGCCGACATTGCCAGCCTCTGTCAGAGGCTCCAAGACAGGGAGAGCTGAAGCTATATTGATTGACTGACTACATAAAAGAGACTGAAGACAAGAAGAAAAAGTGTCATTTGGATTTAAGACAAACTTTGCAAAAACAGGCTAACCATAACCTTAGAACAGAAGCCCTTACTTATCGGAATAATTCTGAAATACTACTTCCTTTAATAAATGTTACTGAAAACTGAGAAAGCAAGTTTAGAGTGGACTGCAAATGTAAATATCATTATTAACAACACATCTCTTCAGTGTTTTTTTTCTTCCATCATTTCAATGGGCCTTTTAGTTCAACTTCGATAACCTGGAGGGGAAGGAGGAGGAGAGTCCGCTAGAGAAAGTTGTTCATACATACATGAACATTTGCAGAATGGATCTAAGCTGTTAACAGTAAGATTTAAGGGTTTCATACCTGTAGTTTTGAGATATCTTCACAGTAATCTTTATCAGATGGAGATCCCACTGACATTATGGAAGTTACCCATGGGAAAATCAACCCAAAATGATTACAGGAGTTTATCTATACAAGAAAGAAACAAGTTGCAATAAAAGAAGTATTTCTGTTAGTGACACTTCCATGTGAAACCCACCACAAGTGAAGAAAATTTTACTCTCAAATAGCATAAGTTAGAACAGCAGCTACTCTTTCTTCTGGTTCATACAATTTAGTAATAAATAAACTGGAAATTTCTATTTAATTCTGTATTTCAGATTTCCCATTCAGAATCCTTTAAAATTCATCATTCACACATTTTTTCTCATTTAATCAGCTTTGTAAAACTACAAACACTCCACCTGACAAAATTGTTTCATTTTAGCCCTTATTTCTGTACAGAGCTGAGATTCCTGTTGGAAGTATATTTGCAAATGTCCCCAAAGAGTAGGACTCCCCAAGCCAGCAATACCTACTTGGTAACTGCACACTACTTTATTTGCTTTCAGACTTGCTTCTTTTAAGAGATAAACTGTCCAGAATTAAAATACTAAGGACAGTACTTGGATAGATTTTGCAGGGACAACGCAGTCATAAAACTTCCTCTGAGTGGTATACTTACCAGATCCTCTGTTGTTTTCAATGGCTTAGTCTCAGGAATTTGCTTCTTTGATATTCTCCAAACATACTGAGAAGTAACCCTCAGTAAAAGCTCCTGAACTATTTCTTCCTGAGAGCACACTACAAGAAGAGCTTCCCAGAAATCCACCAAGAGCTGAGGAATAGTGTTTTCACTGTCACTACACAACATCTAGGAACAAAAACATTAGAAGACAGCAAGTTAGCACAGACTAGGGTAATTATTAGTAACAGAAGTTAGAAGAGATAGGAAGAACAGTTTTTTACTAGAAGCAGAATTTTGGTTCCTTTTTTTTTTTTTATGTATTTCTACTGAATGTGATTCTACATAATACAGTGCTAGGCAAAGTAAAAAACTCATGGAATGATTTTAAGGTAATCAATTCTAAATGATAGATTTGATTTCTTCTTCAAGATTTACTCCACTGCCAGAAATGTCAGGACACTGTCAGCAAGTATTTACAGACTGCTAATTTGGAGGATTTTATATATGCCAATAGCCAAGTAGGTGTCTTCAAAAGAAGAATCTACAGGCCATGATAAGAGATGCTATGTAGCTCAGTTGGGTATAATGGTAGGACCCACAAGGGAGATGCTTTAAGATCTGGTGTGTCAGCGAAAAGGACTTTTACTTGGTTTCCAACTGGTTTTAAACACCACCACTTGTTCTCATTTGAGTTTCATGACTTGGTATTTCTGATACAGGTCTTTCACAGTAACAGATATAAGACTGCAACATACCTACATTAAAGAATACACGGTTTTAATCCAAACAATGTTATTCATTGTAGAGAAAAGAAAAAAATGTTTGTCTATTCCCAATCTAAATAAAGAAAACTTCTGTGACACCAGAAAAACTATTCTATTTATCCTTCTTCTCATAAACTGCAGAGACCCACCCTTCTTCAGAAATTTATACAGAACATCAGAACATTATATACCTTCATATTTAAGTCTGATTCTTTAGAAGTATGTTTCAATCCTAATGATTTCTTCAAAAGGAGCTTACGGAAGTGATTTATCTAAATTCTGTTAAATTTCAGTAGCCTTAGGAAGCCCAATTACTAGGAAGCCATTGAAAGATCTCTGAGATCAGGGTATTCTCCATTCAAATGACAGGGTCAAAACAAAGAACTTAATGGATTTTTTTTTTTTTGCTTGATTTAACCAGTATTTCTTTCCAGAAGGTCCAGTTTCTGACTCTGTAGTCATCTATCATGACTGGAATATATCCAACCCTTATCTCCCTCTTTCTGAAGAAATGCTGAAATGTGAGTGAAGGAGAAACCGAGGCTGCTCTGCTTACCCATAACAACACGAGAAAAATAGAAGCAAAAAATTATCACAGGCCAACCTTGAAAAAGGTATCTGCTTCTTCCAGTTCAATTTTACTGTTCTCATGTAAAGCCACAGTGGCAGCCACCAGTAAACCAGGTTGCATCTCCTTCAGGTGAACAGCAAACTCAGTTGGAATAGCAATTCCTTCCTTACGCTGTCTCAACAGTTTTGGTTGCCCAATGAAGCCACAAGCCAGTATTGTCTACAAATATAGTCAGATATAAATCAGGTAAAGAATTCAGTGCATGTATGATTCAACTCAGCAAACTCAGTATTTCCTCAGGCAGTGAAGTTTAGACAGATGAAATGAAAGAAAGTCAGGGGAAGGAAATAAATCCTTTCTATATTTTATAGAATAGCTCTTCAGAGACCGAGCTCCAAACCATGTGCCGGAGCAGTGACTCCTGAGCAATAAGCCATTTGCCTGAACATTCAAAGTAACATTCTGTTGAAATCTGGAGTTACTGCGCACATAAGAAAGATAGATCTCACCATGAAATCCTAGACATTCAATACACACTGTGTTTTGAAAAATCACTGGCTGAAATTTCAATAGACTACTTTGCTAAATTTCAGTAGTCTACTTTGCTGAAGTATGATTTTTATTTTGAAAATACCCCTGTAACAATGATCAAAATGTGCTGCACTATGTTCAACAGTAAGTTGTTTCTGGATATCTGAGTGCTTTTGAAGGTAAGCATGACAAGATACTATTGCTGCTTTAAAGACAGTGGGGAAATGATGCCTAAGCAGATTAAATGAATTACACAGGAAATACAAGGCAGACCTAGGAGGAAAATTCGTATTTCATCCCGCTATGCATACACACATTCTTTCCTTTCTTTATCTTTCTGAAAGTGTTTTTCTACTTTACAACAAAATGCTTTTTAAAGGTGAGGTGCAATAGAACATCTTTAATAGGTCAGATTAAAAAGGGGGGGGGGGGGGGGGGGGGGACACCAAACCCCACCAACACCCAAACCCCAGCCACCTTTTTCTCTAAATAACATCCCTGCAGTGGAATGTGTATCTTTGCTCACAACATGGCAATTTCACTCGATCGTGCTGCAAATGGTTAGAAAGCAGGTGGTGCTGAGTATCATTGCTGAAACAGCTCTCCACAGTTCCTACCTTGCAATTCAAAAACTGCTAACTTTGAAAGCTCTACCGAAGCACAATATCTAACTTTGGAAGAGCTATCAGTTTATTTTAAAAGTTTTTAGACCTCCAATATCTCACTCTCAGAAAGAGTCTGTATTTCAAGCTCTGTCACCTTTGAATATTCAACAGTCCTGATCAATCAATCTTAACAAGAAGCAATGTACAGTCTAAAACCACATGTGAACATCTATGGCAGAGACTGCTTCACTAACATTTTTCCCCCATTGATGTGGAATTCTTACTTTGATAGCACTGAAGTAGGTTCCGATCTGATCTCAATAAGGGTTAAGTGCTTTGATTCCACATAAGAAAGATGGGAAATTGTATACAGAAACTTTAGTTTGTGTGCACCATAGACATGCTACTTCAAGAGCAATTTTATAAGGGCCGTTTGCATACAGATGGTGTTTTCATGGGCATATCGCATATTAATTACAGGTGGAGGGGTGCAAAAATGCTATACAACCCTGCCATACTGCTGAAGACCACTGGCTCTGCAGAGCTTGTTACACCCCAGTAAACAGCATTTAATTTATCAAGAATTAACAGCTTCAAAACTTTTGCTTATTTGGTAAGGCTTTGCCAAGATAAGACTACCCTACCTGCAGCGTAAACAGTACAGTCCCAGTGTATGCCAGCCCTTGACTCTACTGTTACTGCAGACATTCAGTGGAGCCTATACAGCATATCAGGAGGAAACGGAGTGACCTGAAGTTTCTTTTACTGTAAAATACAACTACAAGCCAAACCTACTGATTTGGGCTTTGCAAAGCGTGAACAGCTCATGCTTTCAGCATACTTTACCTCCTTATAGGAGTCCATCTCATGTTCATACATCATCAGGTCTTCCATTTTCAGAGCCATGAAAGCCTTAGTAAGTGTCAGGAGCACTGATGGCATCATCTTTTCTACTTTCTGAAGATACTTCACAGCTGTCAAAGGACATACGTTTCTCATGCAGGGGCTGCAGAGGATATGAGGCAGCTGCGCAGGGTCAGCAAGATAGAATATTTGGAGAACTTTATTTGCTGATTCCTATTAAAATAAAAGCCATTTGACAGTTTAGACCTTTCCAGATATACAGTCTTCTATGGCACGTAAAAGTATTGCATTTTTTGGGGTTTTTTTTCTTTTATTAGACAGACAAGTACAGCTTAGCTATCAAATCACAGTGCCTTTCCTGCCTCTTTCCTCCTTACTGGTAAAAGTAAAGGATCTCTAACCAACAGTGATTCAACCCATATTCTGGCGTGCTAGGAGAACACCCACCACCACAGTGCATTCGTTTTACCAACCTGTACAATTTGGCAATGTTCAAAGAAACAGTTTGTTTTGTTACAAAAATGGGAGATGAAAGAAATTTGAGGCAGGGCTGTCCTAAAACGGAAGTGTCTCTGCGTGCAAGTGGGAACCAGATCATTAGCAACATGCATCATGATAGCCAAACCCATAATATGTTGCTTGAAAGCAGCCCAAAGTATCACAGGTGCTGCCTGCTATTTTGTCAACAAAAATGGGAAAATAAAAACCATGTGAAAAAGAACCACCGTAAAACTAAATAAGCAGCTCAGCATTTTCAAAGGGAATTTAATTAAAATTTGATACACAGTTCTTAAAACCATAACTAAATCAATAAATTAAGGAAAAAAAACCCTTGTTTCTACCTTACTTAATTCTTCATTTAAGTCTTCATTAAGAGAGTGAGTTAAGTAAAATATAAATCCTCTCTCATATGTCTGTATTTCATCACCTTCTGAAACTAGTCTCTTTAAAACTTCAGTCATGGATAAACCTGACATTCTGTAGTATGGCAAAGCAAGGTGGTAATCCTTTGTGTCAAACCTGAAGGCAACAGAGAGGAAGGGAAAAAAGAACAAAACAACTAAGGGCAACACTTTTGCCATCACTGTTTGTAAGAACTACAATAATATATCAAACAAAGTTGCAGACACACCAGCATCTGCAAACACATAGCTCATATTTAACATAATGTTGTATTCTGTGTTCAGTGACAATAAAGACAACCAGATACTGAAGAGATGACTAGATTAAGCTGTTTTCATAGAACGTAAAGATTTATATTATATATGCAATACTAACGTAAAACAGCAAAGAATGATGGATTTTCGTTTTCAGGTTATGTTATTGGAAACAAAAGCTCACCTGTATCATTTTGACATCGAAAACATACCTGCTGTAGCAGTCTCCTAAGGCAGCACAACTTTCTCTGAATGCTCTTAGAAGTTCTTCTTTCTCATCTGATTTAAGGAAACTAGGGTCCATTATAGCTGCCCTGACCAGTAAGTGAGCCTCACTTAGAAGATGGATGCAGCTCTCAGTTTTTACATTTTCGTAAGTTCTACTATAATCTACCTAGAACAGACACAGGATATACTTAGGCTGCTGGCAAAAATGAAGAATATACAGGAACAATTCTAATGATGGCAGCAGCCATTTGAAATAGGATTATGGGCTATTCATGAGAAATACATTACGTTACATTCAGCAATGACATCCATCAGAGAGTAATTAACAGTACTTATTTTTAATCACCAAACAACAAAAGCAGGAGTTGGGCAATACCATTTCTCTGTAAAGCTGAATGGTTGAAACAGTGTTTATAATATATAAATTCCAACCAGGCTCTGACTCAGAATTTGTTCTGGATTTGATGCTGTCAGCCTTTCTGGAACTAGAAAGAAAGAAAAGAGTTGAGTTGTCAGTGTCCAAACAAACACTATGCAGCCAAAAAACCTCCATTCACTTGATAATTTAAATGCATAAATAGCTATGTTTGCAGGCTAGTAAATGCTTGAGAGTTAAGTTGTGAATTTAAGTCATAATGGCTAATAACGAAATGGGGATAGGCATGTTCATACATCAGGAACATCATCAAAACTATCTACTACATCTTCTCCCAGGCTTAACACCAGGTAGTATCAGATACTTACATGAAGTTAAGTAATTCAAATTAGCTAAGATGCTTGCTTACTTTCTGTAAGGACTTACTGCACATTTGCCCCTGCACTATTAAAGAGCCAAGACATGGCGTAAAAAAATATTTGAACGCTTTTACTCTAACACATTCCCTAGGTCTGTAACGTTAAAACACTGTAGGAAAACAGAGACTCTTTTTGTTCTGGTTTTTTTGGGTTTGGTTTTAACTGTTCTGGGCTATTTACATCTATTTTCAAATGATGGTGTTAAGTAGACTAGTATTTGTTCTTTACAGAAGGCAAAAAGTGTATCTTCCTCAAACGCCAACTATAACCTTTGAAACAACACAGTTGCCAGAAGAAACTGTGCTTTATACACAGAAAACTACAGTATTTTGAATTACTATTCTCCTTGATGGGCTTATCCTCATCTTCTCCTGAATAATGTCTGTTCTAGGCTTTAAGAAATACTGGTTCAAATAACTCTTCAATCAACTACAGCTGTCCCACTTTTGTTAATGAACTTGAGCTGACTTTAATAAATGTGATTTCTGTATAGCTGTGTTAGAATAGCTGTTTAGCTGTTTTATGAAAAGCCCTCAAAAAAGAATGGGAATAGCAGTTCTCACAGAAATAGATAAAAAGTCACAAATGCCTCTGGCTACATACATGCTACAAGAGTATCTTGAGCCAAAGTATGATCCTTCTTTTGTTGTGGATTACTATAGTGATGTTCATAACTTTTCTTGGAAAGAACTCTCAGCCAAATTTCCATTTTGTGCTACAACATTTTGTTAGCCTGTAGCTTCGGTACTCCCACATATTTTTGCTTCTCAAGATAAGTATCTTTCCTTCTCAGTAGCAGATACGTTCTTAGTAATCTTATTTTAACATCACTTAGGAAAGTTAAGTTTTTTACAATCTTGAGTAACTTACTTTGTTTTTTTTAAGCATTTGTGACCCTACCGTCATTTCTTCTATGTCAGTTAATACAGCAGAATTGAGAAAAATAAATGCTTGATTTCTGTTCTTATGCACTAACTAGGGAATTATTTCCAGTTTTTCCAGAGGAACCTCTCTTCAACTCCAATACCCACAAATTCAACACTGTACACAGAGCTATAAATACCATCTCCCCAAAGGACACAAATCCTTACAGCAACCTTCTTGTAGGCTTTCTTCTTTCAGTAATATCTTCCGTGTCCGCCTTAGTCAAAAGAATTATATGGTTTTTGAAATGACAGATAGCTCTTGGTCCTATAAAAAGCTGCATTCTTAATGTGCAGACATCCAGTGCAACAGGTGGACAAGCCTATAAAAGAAAGTGATTGTTTTATAATTTCAGTTAGTAGGTACTTTGAGCCTTTAAATTAAAAAAAAAAAAAAAAAAAGAAAAAAATGTAACCTTTGTCCAATGATCTGACACTAAAACTATTCACTGGCTTTCCTAACTTTGAGTGCTTCACTTAAGCAAGAATAAAAATACTCATAAAACTATGACATACATCAATTTAAAAATGGGTAAAAAAAAACTATTTCACTCTTCAAAGCAACTACACAGTTTTAGCTGCGTGTCCCAAAATAACTAAGCCTGAGGGAGATGCCTAACATGGAAAACTTAATCCCAAATAGTTTGAATTTGGCCAAGTTGTAAAAGATTGCCTGACATGGTTATAAAAGTCTTGATATCAGTTGCTTATAGAAAGCATATAGAAGTATTATATTCGCTTGCCTATTGTTACATTACATACCCACTATTACATCCCTGATTTGTTCAATATGCACCTTTCAGGTAAAACTTACCATATCATCTATACTGGACTAAAAATGGAAGAATTGAACCTCATTTGCCCAGAAATATTCTAAATTTACAGCTTTAAGAAGATAAAATACCATATTTACAAATTAACATATACAGTGAAGCAAGGCAACACAGCATCATCTGTGTACCCTGCTTTTTGAAGAAACCTAAAAATTTCTTGTAAAGAAGCAGAGGGCTGCAGTAGTGACCAGGAGGCTCTGAACTGCCCTGGGCTAGTCAGAAGCAGAACCAGCCAGCTCTGAAACTGATGTAAAAAGCCTGCAGGAAAAATAATAATAATAACCATCATCATGCTCACACTTCAAACTCCACACTGGGGCAGGAACACCCCTGAGGGAACATAGCCTGTGGGCAACCCACAGCAGAGCAGGGACACCCCAGAGTGACTGCAGCCCATGGACAGCCCATGCCAGAGTGGGTCTGCAGCCTGTGGAGGGCAAGCTGCAGTATGGACATCCATGAGGGACTGCAGACTACCATTATATGCACACCTCCTTAAACCTCCTCTTGAGGCAGGAGGCAGCCTGTTGCCTGACTGGAGGAACTGTGATGGACTGGATGTAACCCACAGTGAAAACACAGAAAATGCAGACTGGAGAAGGGACAGGACAGATTGTGTTTCTATCCTTTACTTCAGTACCTCTATGGAAAGCAGAGAATACGTTATTGGCTCTTGAAAATTCTATACTACTTCTACTGTCCTATGGTTTCTTTATGTCTGCTGTCTACATGCTCAAAAGAAATCCTTAAATGCTAACTTGAAATACACTGCCATCTATCTTTCCTGGTATTTTTATTAACATGTATCCCAATCTTTACAATTCAATCGATTTTTACGGATAAGCAATTTAAGGAAGGGGAAAAGCCTAGACCTCCAAGGATCAAAAGCCGCCCTCCTAAAAAAACATGCACTAAGTATCTGGTAGCAGACTTGTTCAAGTGTCTGCACTCCTCTTACAAAAACTGGTTTTTCAAGGACACCTGAGAGAGAGAAACATCATCAGCTGCAATAAGGGAGAACTCTACACCCTTCATGCAGATTTACACAGGAAAGCATGGAATTTAGTTTAAAATGCAACTGATTTTATAGCTTCTGATATTTTTGAAAACATTCGGCTAATGGTCTAGAATCTTAAATGGCAATAATAGAGTGTTTCATTGAGACATTTGTAGACCTTTAAAATACAATATGCCATAGACTGAAGTAAAAATTAATTTTGGATGTTTATTGGTTCAGCCAATAGAAACTAACAGGATTTCAGAAGGAAACATAAGGAAACTAAGTGCCATTCTACTACCCCCATTCTTCTAGCGCGATAACGAGAAGTGCACCTTCACGGTCGTATCAATATATGGATCCTCATCACGAGCTGCTGCTGCACTGCACCGCACTGTGAAACACTGCAGGTTCCCACTAGAGGGAAAGAAGAAACCACAACGATAAAGGAAAAAAATGAAGACTTGCAAAAATCAAGTAGCCAAGACTACAGAGAATCAGATCTTTTTCCTTTGCAGAAATGGGCCTAAGGAGGAGGAGGGCATGGTGCACTACCTGCAGCCTACCCAGAGAGTTCCAGGAGGCTATGGAGGATCATATCGGGGCAGGGAGGGGGGGAAGGCAGCAGCATAGAGAAACGTAGTAATACTATCAGCAAAATCATAAATGTAGTACCTTGTAATGACGTGCAGGAACTGTGGAGTGAGAACTGCCTGCTCTGACTTCTCTGAATATTGGTAAGTAGAAATCAGTTCTACTAACTTCCCAACAGAGTAGAGATATCCAACGTGAGGTAAAGAGAAAAAGCAAAAGAGATTCAGTAGTTCTCTCTTGTTCTCAGTTTCCTCATGGGCTGCCACAGAACTTCCTAGATATAACAATAAGAAAGACATTTTATATACCTCATAAATCAAAACCTGGCAATTCCTTTGCAAGGCTGATGCCTAAAAGATACTATCAAACCTGCCCAGGTTGCAGACTGGTTTTGTTAGTAGCTAGTGAAGAGAAAAAGAACTATATGAAGATGAGTGTACAGGTCGGATCAGTGCACAGGTCAAACACACAAAAGTGCGGAGGTACCACCAAGTGAAGAAATTCTATAGATGTAACAGCATCTGAGAGTCCTGGCAGATTCATCACAACTAAGCACCCATGGATTGAATGATCAGCCTGATCTTAGACAACTACCTGTGAGCTGGGATGAATGCTCATCCAGAGTCGCAGCTGCAGCGCACCAAAATAAAGGTCCTCACTTAAGGGAAAGAAAGGCTGGGCATGGCAGAATTTGTTTATAAGGCCACCTTGGCAGGTAAAGGCTGTGTTCAGATTCTACAGACCCTCTTGTCCAAGACTGTAAATCACAAGACAACGTAAGATAGCTGGAGTTAAATGGCAAGTAGCTCCTTCTCTTGAGTCAGCTGCAACTTAAATGAGGCTTTGCTACTTAGCATACAGACAACAACTACAAACTGGGTGAGCAGTCAGTAAAGCTGATTGATAACATACAGCATTAAATTTTTCCATGGGTCTGTTGGGGCTTGAGCTAGTGTGTATTAGTGACCCCCTAAAATCTGCATTCATCCCTTGCAATTTTAATTAAATCCTGGCAGAAAGGTTACCTGTATCTTAACGATTATTAAGGTTTACTACTATGATTTCCACTGTTGACTACTGAGAGGCAGCCCAGTACCTTATAACACTGAGGATAATTTTATTAATGCAATGTAAAGAGTGACTGTTTTGTGATGTAAAATTAATCAGTGGAGAACCGATAAAAGCTGATTTAGTCTTCCTCTTTTGGTGTGGTGAATTGATATTTTAGTTCAAGGTTTATGCAGAACTTGGAGAAACTTCAAGACTATTTGTTAGTAGAAGCTCAGTTTAAATCGTTGAAAAGGGAAGAAAGACCTTAATTTAAAAACAAATCATACAGAAACAGTGTACAAAACAGAATATACAAAGAAGCTCCTTCCTTTCCCTCGTCTCCTGTGACACAGGCCATAACGCATCCGTGCATATCCATATACCTGTCTGGTACACAGGAAGCAGTTGAACAGAGTGCAACTTTGTCTCTTCACAAAACCCAAAAGGCGACTGGTCGGGTGTAAAACGTCTAGAGAAAAAAATCCAAAACAACCACATGGGACCTCAGTGAGAAATTATTATGAGCTATTTTGGACAAGTAAGCAGCGCTAGCTGTAATAGGCCTAGCTGATGTTTTAATATTCAACAACAATGTGCACTCCCACTACTAATGTAATTAGCATGGCACTGCCAAGAAGCATGTGGCACAGCTACAGACAACTATCTTGAGTTCTTGCAACCAAAAATCCTCTTTCTTTGCTTGTCCACAAAACGTGTGTCGAAGTTTGGGATCACTGGAAGACATGTTGCAATTGATTTGAACCTCAATTTAACCTTTTTTCTTCCCCCCTCTTTATTCAACTGAGCTATAGATAACATGGTTCCATCTCCAGTCCTACTTTTCTTTCCTATTATGTGTCATCCTTTTTCCTGCTTTGCTTTGGAATTCACTGCTGGACTGTGACACCAATTCTTCCCCAGTTTTGGATAAAAGTTTAATTGCTTTGATCACTAACAAAATAAAAAGTATAGTTTCTTAGTGCTTAAGATACTTGGTAAACTCCCTTTGCTAGCTGGAGAAAGGGAGAATTTTTTTTTTTTTTAGAGGTACTCAAATAAGCATCAGTTCAGTATTCAAGTAAGTATCACTTCAGCTGGAGTTGATGAAAGCTGCAGAATAAATAAACAGAAGGCAGTACCTTGATTAAGGTCACACAGATAGAACCACTGATCAGTCTCCTGTGTAATCTTTTAAAGTAGGCTTTTCTAAACAATAACAGAATTTGACACAAGCTGCTTCAGAATAAGGTATGTAAAACTTGGTTTTGCCGGTTCAGCCGGGAAGTATAAAAACTGTGGGTGGTCAGACACTGGAACAGGTTGCCCAGATAGGTTGTGGAGCCTCTGTCTTCAGAGGTTGTGGAGATACTCAAAACCTGACTAGACAGGGTCCTGGAAAACCTGTTCTAGCTGACCCTGCTTGAGAAGGGAGGGAATGGGGTATTGGACTAGATGGTCTCAGGAGGCCCCTTCCAACCTAAATGAGGAAACACCATCCCTTCCGATACATCACAAGAGAAGCTGCCACGCATGCTCTTCACAGCACACAAAGATGCATGATGAAAGCAGACATTAAACATCACTAGATCTGCAAAACCACCAAAGTTCTATTCTAGTTTAATTGTTACAACTGTCACATTCCCCAAACAAAATGAAACTTAGGATTTGCAAGGCCAAACGTTGTCCAACTGTGAGACCAGCAGGTTCATGGTACGCTGGGTGAAGAACCAGCAGGACGGCAGAGCTCAAAGCTCAAAGGGTTGTAGTGAATGGGGCTACATCTGGCTGGCAACTGGTCACCAGCAGCGTTCCTCAGGGCTCAATCCTAGGGCCAGTGTTGTTCAATATTTTGATCAATCATCTGGATGCAGGAGTTGAATGCACCATCAGCAAGTTTGCTGACGATACCAAACTGGGAGGTGCTGTTAACTCTCTTGAAGGACAAGAGGCGTTGCAGAGGGATCTAGATAGACTGGGGCATTGGGCAATTATGAACAGCATGAAATGGAACAAGTCCAAGTGCCAGATTCTGCACTTAGGACGGAGTAATGCCAGGCACAAGTCTAAACTGGGAGAGGAGTGGCTGGACAGCAGCCCTGCAAAAAGGGACCTGGGGTGCTGGTCGGCAGCAGGCTCAACAGGAGCTAGCAGTGTGCCTTGGCATCCGAGAGGGCAAACCACACCCTGGGGTGCATCAAATACAGCACGACCAGCCGGTCAAGAGAGAGGATTGTCCTGCTGTATTTAGCATTGGTGTGGCCTCACCTGGAGCACTGTGTGCAGTTCTGGGCCCCACCATTTGACAAGGATGTTAAAGTACTTGAATGCATTCAGAGGAGGGCAACCAAGCTGGTGACAGGGCTGGAAGGCATGTCCTATGAGGAGCGGCTGAGGACTCTGGGTTCATCTAGTTCAGAGAGAAGGAGGCTGAGGGGCAACCTCATTGCTCTCTGCAGCTTCCTGAGGAGGGGACGTGGAGAGGGAGGTGCTGAGCTCTTCTCCCTGGGATCCAGGGACAGGACGCCTGGGGATGGCTCAAAGCTGCATCCATCAGGGGAGGTTCAGACTGGACATTAAGAAACTTTTCTTTACCAAGAGGGTGGTCAAACACTGGAACAGGTTGCCGGGAGAGGTGGTCGATGCCCCATGCCTGTCAGTGTTTAAGAGCATTTGGACAGTGTCCTTAATACCATGCTTTAACTTTTGGTCAGCCCTGAAGTGGTCAGGCAGTTGGACTAGATGACTGTTGCAGGTCCTTTCCAACTGAAATACTCTACTCTATTAAAAAATGGGCTTTCTTTGGTATCACGTTATTTCCTCAGTGCAAAAAAAAAAAAACCACCCTTATAAAACCCCCAGAAATCAAAATACCAGGATTTTTCTTTCAGTAAGACACGAGCCACAGCTCATTTTGGTTTCCTGTAGTAAATTAACCCATAAAAGGGAAAATACATTTGTAATACCTAAAAAGCAGATACTGCACTTGGAAGCGTTTTGTGTCTTCTGTAGGTAACTCTGTGGATTCCAGTGTGATCGGTATCTCACATAGCTTACTTTCTTCCCCAAGCAGTTCCACTGGCTTCTGACATATGATGAACTCATCTAATTCAAGCTGCAAAGTATGTGTTGAAGGGCCTTCATCTTTTACACCTTAACAATTAAAATTTATATATTGTTCAAATAATATTAATTGTTCAAACCATACCATTTAGCAACAAGAAAATGATATGACACAATCAATTAAATACTCCAGTTACAGCTACCTAGCTAGCATTGGCTTCCTCAAAACATGAGATTTTGAAAACAGCTATGCTAGGAGATGAGAACAATCCTTCATTTAAGCCTCAACAGTCTGAATATTTAAGAGTCAAGATTTCTGAAAGAACAAGTAAACTGTGCATTATAAGGCAAGCCCAAGGCAACCTGTGCTGCAAATGGCTGGCCATCAAAAAACGTCATTTGGTTGGAGAGGTTTTAAGAAGGAAAAGGCAGCTATGATAGAAAGTTGCGTTATCTTAAATTCACTTAAGTTCTGGAAAGCAAATCCTAACAGCACACAGAAAGTAATTTGAACTCTTCTATTTAGTTTTTAGTAATAAAAACAACTAGGGGCAGGATGCCATTATCTGAGTTAAGATTCATCTTCAGCCAGTGAAGAACATTTCAGTTTATATTTTCCCTATCTGACAAGTCTTATTTACCTTTAAATTTTTTCTAGGTACAGTTTCCTTTTCTAAAAGACCATCCTTTTTTGGTTTAAGTTTCTTTCAACTATAAATGAAGGATTTTTCTAAGGTTTGTTGGTGTTCATCTGATACTTTTGGAAAGGTAGGAATTGATTACATATGGATTGATTTCTTGCAATACACGGGAATGAAACCTACTGAGTAAATCTATTTCTGGGATTTCTGGGATTCTGAGGCAAGCCCCTGAATAAGACAAAGGACTGAAAAAGGAGAATTTGCTGTTTATGCAGGTTCTGAGCCTACTATCAGTTACAAAAGTGCATATGCATCACTACAGAAGGCATTCTTACATGTGTTAAGCCAGTATGCATGGTCCATTTCAAAGTTCATGAGATGCTTCTTCCATTTGGCCTCCCACTTGTCACTTAGAAGAGATAGTCTTTTGGGTAGTGACACTGATAGAATAATTCTTCTGAACACAGCACACTGAACTACTACCGCTTTGATCGGGCCCATGGTGGCACCCCAAAACAGGGACCTAATTCTAAGTTTGTAGAGCCTGCACTATCCTGAAAGTGTCTGCAGAATGATGGCATACTTGTTTTAAGTGTTCCCTCCAATTGCAGGTGGTACAACTTTTCATGCACTACAATATTCAGCTGACAGTCCTAAGATGATCTGGAAATATTTTCTGAAGGGCAATGACCTTGTTTGCGCCTACTTTGAGAATAACAGGAATCAGTTAGCAGATTCTTGGAAATAAAAAAAAAATTAATTTCTGTACTTACCTCCATCTGCAGGCTTTTCTAGTGTACTAACTGTATGTGCACGTTGCTCTGTCCTGTCTGCACTTTGCTGGACCAGTTCCAGTTTTAGGATCAGAACATCCAGCTCTGTTGTTATGGCTATATGTCTGGCACAAAACGCAACTTCAGCATGAATGAAGTTATCAATGTGTAAAATTAAGGAGCGTTCAAAGTCTAACACAGTCAAATTCTGCTTTATGACCAGATATTTCAAACAGAACATGACCAGTTTATTTTTGCAGCCCACAAGAAGATCTCCATTTACAGGACAACATGAAATGCACAGCGGAGGATCTGAAAGTGGCATTTCCACAATTGACATCTGTTCTTTTAAGGTTTCACTGTATGACTCTTCCACCTTGTGACCAACCATCCGAACACAAACACGAGAACTCCCTGCAGACATGCATCTCCAGTTCATATACGCTCTAAGGAAAGTTGCTTTGCTTTTTTCTTCAATTGTCACCAGATAGTCTCCTTAAAAGAAAGCAGCGGTACTGATATATCATTAAAAAAATAGATGACACAGTTTTTGAGCTCTTTACCTGCTGTATACATTACAAAGAACATCTTAAATTCTCAACTCTTACATAAAATTCCAAAACCAGTTTTCACCAATTTTTCACTAATGAGATCCAAAGTGCAAGTTTCTTTGCTGGATGGAACACACTTCACACACCTTCAAAAAAAAAGACTTACAGATCTAGGTCCAGACTAACTCCTACGTGAATCCACTTTATAAGTTGTGATTGCAGACAAGGTGTTTTCTCACTGCCAGAATATCCGTTAACGAGAAAATGTTTTGTTCTCTAACGATCAGGGAAAGCCACACTCATAGAGAGCTGCGGGATCGGCTGGAGTGACCACCCGCCCCGTGCTCTGAAATAAAAAAAAAAAGCAAGGGCAGGAGCACAGACTCCAACCGGGGCGGGGCAAGACTTCAAAAAAAGCGATGTGCTGGCCCCGCACTCCCTACTGGCCCGGGCACTTCCAGCCCCTCGCACAGCGCTCAGGCCAGTCCGTGCCTCGGCGAGCGCCGGCCCGGTGCTTCC